AGTAGTGCAGGAAGGGCCTGTGCTCTGAGCTATAGAGGGCTCTGCTGTGGTCCTTTTGCCCCTCTCTACAAAGCTAAGGAGTTGTGACTACTAGAACCTGCCCCCATCCCCTACCTTCTAGATCATTCCCTACCCAAATGGCCCCAGGTCTTCCCCAGGCCTTTCCTGAGCAAACAGCCAGCATAGCTCACATGTGTACTCCTAGGCCCAAATGGTGGTCAATGGAAGCTGTTTTGGGTGACCAGTGACAGAACCAGCATGGGCTGGGGTGTACACACACACACACACACACACACACACACTCACTCATGCACAAAGAACCTCAAAGCACAGGGTGGGAAGAGGAGGGAGCGGCCATGTTTCCTGGGATTGGGGCTGATTCTCCTCACACAGCCACATTCCTCCCCAGTCCCCTGTGTCCCAGGGTCCAGATACAAACCTGGCTTCCTCGTCACTGTGAAGAAAAGCTCCCCCAGAAAAGAACTCAGGATAGGCTCTTTTTTTTTTGTTTTGTTTTGGTACCAGTGATTGAACCCACAGGTACCTGACCACTGAACCACATTCCAAGCCCATTTTATTTTTTAATTTGGGACAGGGTCTTGCTAATTTGTCCAGGCTGCCATGAATTTGCGATCCTCCTGCTTCAGTCTCCCAAATTGCTGAGGCTATCAGTTTCCTTTTAAAAAGGTAACTGTAAATCCTCTGCATGGTTAAGAAGTGGGAGGATGTGCCAGGTATGATGGCGCACACCTGTAATCTTAGTGACTGGGAAGGATTACTGGGAGGCCAATTCAAGGTCAGCCTGGGCAACTTAGCAAGACCCTATCTCAAAATAAAATTTAAAAACGGGCTGAGGATGTAGCTTAGAGGTAAGGCAACCCTGGGTTTAATTCCCAATGAAATTTCCAACAGGGGAAAAAGAGAAAAGGACTCCATGTATTTGAAGGCTCTGGGCAGTCATAAACCAATAAATATTAACAGCTGCTGCTAACACCTGCCTCCACCACCACCACCTTCATCAGCATGTTCATGTCAGTTCCTGCCTGTTGTGGTTCTTGGCTGGCCAGGCTGGGAGGTGCCCACTGTGGCTGTGATTTGGTGAGTGATGCCCTCTGCTGGGCATGAAGAGAAGAGCCTTTCAGAAAACCACAGCCACTGAAAGTTCCCGCAGTCTGGGAATTTCTGAGAAATTTCCATCTGGAAATGCAGTCTCCACTCAGGGTGTGAGTGTAGAGAAAAGGAGCCACAATTGGCCCTATCAGTCCCTCGACTACAACATTAGTAGTGATAGCAAGAAAATTTATGTAATCCTTGCATGCCAGCATATGAGGCAGAGCAGTGAAGTGATTTCTCCAAGGCCTCAAGGTGGAAGTGCCAAGATGTGCTCTGAACCATGCCAACCCTGGGATTGAACCCAGAGTTGCTTTACCAATGAGCTGTATCCACAGCCATTTTTAATCCTTTAAAAAATTTTTGGAGTACTGGAGATTTAACCCAGAGGGGTTTTACTACTGAGTTACATCCCCCAGCCCTTTTTATTTTTTATTTTGAAACAGGATTTCACTGAGTTTCTTAGGGCCTCATTAAGTTGCTGAGCCTGGCCTTGGAACTTGTGATCCTTCCTTAGCCTCCCAAATTGCTGGGATTATAGACATGAGCCACTGTAACCGGCCCTGGTGGGCTATTTTAATGGGAGTAGGCTCTGCCTTTAATCTGAGAGGAGTTGGCTCACAGAGCTGAACTGAAGACACAGCAGGTGGGCTGCTAAGGAGCTTCCCAGGGGACTGCCCTCCACCCTGTCAATGGCAGGCTTATCACCCAGCTGACTTAAGGGACCCTTCCTAACTGGCCATCCCTTAGCAGTTTCCTGACTGGGTCTTAGCTCTATGTCTCTTTGTGGGTCCCATTGGTTAAGGAAGCCTAGCATGGGCAGGGACAGGAATTTGGGTCCTCTTGCAACCTGACCTTCCAGGGATGACAGCCACCTGCTGTTGCCTCTCCAGGGCTTGGGCAAATGGGAATTACTGCACCCCCTTTGAGAAGGAGAAAGGATTGTTGGTGTGACCAGGCCTGGCTGGCCTCAAGTTCTGCTTTATGGGACTGAAGGAGTTCCTTATTTGGAGTTTTATCTTTTCCCTTCTGCAAAACGACAGCAGATTGGAGCAGTTTTCAAAATATTCTGCATGTAAGGAGACACATTGGGAAGATGGGGCTGAGGAGACAGGTCTCTGGGTGCCCAGCCCCTTCTTCTCGTGAAGCTCCACTTTTAATTTTTTGGTACTGGAGATTGAACCCAGGGTTACCACTGAGCTATATCCCCAGGCCTTTTTATTTTTTATTTTGAGACAGTTTCTTGCTAAATTGCTTAGGGCCTTGCTAAATTACTGAGGCTGGCCTTGAACTTGTGTTCTTCCTGTCTCAGTCTCCCAAGTTGCTGGGATTTCAGAGATAGGCACCGTAGGCCCATTCTTTTTAATTCAGAGGTTGGTGACTGGCTTCATCACTGCAAGAATCTAGGTCCATCCACAGAGGCCAGGCTTAGCTGGGGAAGGTTGCTGTACCTCCTCAACTCCCTCCAGAAGTCTCCAGAGAAAAGTCCAGCTGAACAGTGGCTATTTGGTTTTACAATTAGTTGTAGCTTAAGATAGGTTTTCCTGCTTCATTCAGGCTTCTGTGAAAGGAGCTGAAAATAAGGGGCCACAGAGGCAGCTAACTGGGACACCCAATCCTCCCATACCCCCTTATCAGCCAGAATAATAGGGTCCTGGTGGAGGGGGATTATCAGCAAAAGCATCAGGTCCCTGGCTGTGGGGATCTGAGGCAGTGGGAACCAGGAGCTGTGGCTTGGGAGGAAAGACAGGAGGCAGTCTTGGCGGAGGGCTAAGGCACTATGGACCAAGAATAATGAGAAATCTATTAGATTCCCTTTTGACTTCTCCATCCAAGGACCTCCACTGTCAGAGCCTAGGTGAAAAACCTTTGTGTCAGAATCACCTGGGGGGGTGGTGGTTAAACCAGACTGCAGGCCCAATTCAGTAGGTGAGACTAGTGTTGTTGGGTCAAGGTCTGGACTTTTGAGTACAGCTGCTTTGAAGAATTAGTTACTCTCACTGGGCATGGTGGAATCTCAGCTATTTAGGAGGCTAAGGCAAGGAGAATCATAAGTTCAAGGCCAGTCCCACTTAGTGAGACTATCTCAAAAATAAAAAGGGCTGGGGATGTAGCTCAGTGGTAAAGCACCCTGAGGTTCAATCCCCAGTATCTAAATAAATATTTTTTTTTAAAAAAAGAATTGGTCACTTTTGGGGAAGGAAACACTTATTTCAACCCTAGCAATTCCTTTAGCTCTATTTTAGATTCTTTTGTTTTATTGAAAAATTTGATCTTTCCTTTAACAGAGGCACAAATGGAATCTTCTATCTTTGATTCCTCATCCTTACTCCTGCACTTGAGCCCTGGTCTTATCGGAAATGTTCCAATTTCCCTGATATTCTGGGTGGGTTCTCTATCCTCGCCCCCCACCCCCATTTTGCCTGCTTTTGATGATGACCAGGTATTATTTAAGAAAAATAAAAACCCAACAATGAGGCCATTCTTTTTTTAAAAAAAATATCTTTATTCATTATTTTTTATATGGTGCTGAGGATCAAACCTAGTGCCTCACACATACTAGACGAGTACTTTACCAATGAGACCCATCCCAGCCCCCCAAAAGACCATTCTTTAAAGCAGGGAAACCTCCTCAGAGGCTGAGTATGAGGGTATGTTTAAAGGAAACAATGGAAGTTAAGTGCCATCTGGATCTAAAAGTTCTAAGTTGCAGTGGTTTCTAATTAACAAATAGCACCATCCATGCACCAGATATTAATTCATTGAATCACATAAAACTCCCCATTTTATAAATGAAAAATCTGAGGCAGGTAGAGGCTAAGCAACCTCACCTGGGCTCTGGTGGCACTCAGCCCAAGGGGAAAGAGGTGAATGGTTTTGCCACAGAGGAGCAGCTCTGAATTTGCAGGGAGAGGACAGGTCCGTACCCCTCCACCATAACCCCCTACCTGCCGCTGGACTCACCTGAGTATGTAGGCGAACCCTGAGCTTCCTCTACCACAGAGGGAAGCTGGGAAGAAGCCAGTGGGGGTAGAAGAGCCTAGTCCCTTTGCACAATGCGGAAAATGGTAACAACCACTGATATGAACCTTAGCAGGGGGAATGGTGTGGTGAGGCACTTAGATGTCAATAAAGAAGTTAAAAAAAATTTTTACTCCACTGGCATCTCTGGGAAAAGTTCCTTTAATAAAAACACTTCTAGTACATTTATACGATTGTCATCACCTTCTACAGCACACAATAGGGAAAGTAAAAAAATACAGGACAACCTAGACACACACAGTATAAAAATGCAAGTAGGAGGCCTCAGGGTCTGGGGATCGGAGGAATGCACGAGGGCAGTAAACCCTGCAGGCTGCGCTTCTGGAGGGCTGAGGGGACACTGAGAAGACTCTAAATAACAGCATTAAAACACAACAAAAACAAAACACAGGGGGGCTGAGGAGATAGCTCAGCGGTAGAGCTCTTGCCTAGCATGCTCAAGGCCTTGGGTTCAATTCCAAGCACCACAAAAATAAAACAAAAAATAGGAATACCGTAAGAGGCCTCTTTCTAAGATAAGGTTCCATTCCAGAGGGAAAGTCATCATGGAGCATCAGAGACGGTCCAGGCCCAGGATATGGGCTGAGCACTTTATGGCAGGTAAGAAACATCTGGAATTTTGGTCTGAGGCAACCCTGATGAGGCTGAGAGGTGGTCTGAGGTGGTCAGGGGTGAAGTCTAACTGTCACATCCTTCCATACGGACGGGCTTATGGCAGACTTGCATCCTCTTCCTTCCGAGTTGCTCAGGCCTCTTCTTGACAAGCTCCGAAGTCCTTGGCTTAAGTGGGGACTGAGACCCCTTCGAGAGGCTGCTGTGGCCTGACATTTTATTCCTGGCGCAGCAGCCTAGTCATCCTCACCGCCTCCGTACATGTCCGCCAGCTTCTTGAAGCGACTGCCCCACTCGTTCAGATAATCATAATCCTGGTCTTGGTCAGAGGCCGAGGAGGTCAAGGAGCTCAGGGAGGCAGCATCAGAGCCACTGCCCTCGTAGTCGAACACTAGTAGGGAGTCGTACGGTGGGGCTGCAGGGTCTGTGTTGGCGGCCTTCAGGTTCTGTGCAACAGAGAGCAGGAGTCAGGAGCACTGGGCCTGAGGCTCAGCTGCAAGGGCTCAGGTCATCAGAGGACCTTGCAGAGCCCCCCTTTCCTCAGCTGCCTGGCCAGCACTCCTCTCCCTCAAGGCTTCGAAGGTTGAAATGAAACACAAAGCCTAGAAAGCAGTTAGCACAGGGACTCAGCATGGCAGCTCGGGGCAACACACACCAGTGGTGAAGGGCAGGGACCCTGCAAACAGACTGTGCCTGAACTCAGTCTCCACACACTGGTTTTGGGACTCTGGGCATCTCTGAACTGCTGTATGCTTCTGTTCCCTGTCTGTAAAATGGTAACATGTCACAGTTTTAGAGGAATAAATGAATACATGTAAAGCTTTACCTAGTACATAGTTGGACACTATTTTATCATTTGTAAAATGATGTGGGGTTTAAATGAGACAGCATTTGCAAAATGCCCCAAATGCAGTCATTCTGGAAACTTCTGCATTTAACTGGAAGGATGAGCTCCAAGTATTTAGCTCCAAAGCATCCTCTGGGAACCAGGTACCCTGAGCAGCTTTTCCCCTTGTGTGAGACACTTGTTTTTTGCACCACACTCTTCCAAACATGCTCAGGTTAAAGAATAGAGGCTCACCACTGGATTATTTATCCATCTCTGCAGAAGAAAGGACTGAGGCAGAGGGTTTGAGTCAGGGCTGAGGCCTCCTGACCTCCCACCCAGGATTCTATCCACTGCCACAGATGAATACACCCCACCCAATTAGTTGTGAATTTCATCTAATTTTTTTTTTCTCTTTTTCTGTTAAAGACAGCCACTCATTGATCGCTATGCTGGGCTCATATCATAGACCTCCCATATGTCTAGTTCACTGGTTCTTCATCTTTGATTTATTTTCAGAATTAAAACCCAGATCCCAGCCAGATCAATGGATTCCAGTCCCTGGGGTAAGTTCTGATGGCCTCTGAAGTCCCAGGTGATTCCAAAGGCAGGAAGGTGCCGAAGCCACAGTTTCTAGAGCTTCCTCATTTGAAGCAATTCATGAAGTAATTCATAAAAGAGATTCTAAATTTTCCTCTACATTGGAATCACCTAGAATCTTTAGAATTCAAACCCAGGTAGTCTAATTCCAGAATATTCTCCTAACAACTACTATGTTTGAATAAACGAATAAATTATTTCTAATTTACTCTTTCTTTCTTTATTTTTTTGGTACCAGGAATTGAATCCAGGGGCACTTAACCACTGAGTCATTTCTCCAGCCCCCTTTTTAAAAATTTTTTATATTTTATTTAGAGACAGGGTCTCACTGAGTTGCTTAGGGCCTCACTAAGTTACTGAGGCTGGCTTTGAACTTTTGATCCTCCTTCCTCAGCCTCCTGAGCTGCTGGGATTATAGGCGTGTGCCATTGTGCCAGGCTCCAACCTATTCTTAAGTAGTCTGCAAAACTGTATTTCATGGAGGAGGAAACAGAAGCCCAGAGATACTCAAACATACAGAGATCATACAGCTGGTTGGTGGTGGAGCCAGAATTCAAACCCAGAAACACGAATCCAGAGCCATGCTTGTTCTCCTGAGCTGCTGATGCTAGATTTAATTAAAGGGCTGTGCTAGGCTGGCCCGTCATTTCTTACCTCAATGATGAAGTTGCCAATTTCATCCGGGTTGGCTGGCCGGGGCCGGTACATGGGTGTAGGGATGAAGGTTGGTGCAACATCATTGCGGAGAATTACCTCAGGCCTGGCCTCTAGACCCCGGTGGAGTTGGGTGATATCATAATCCTTCAGGAAAAGAAATGAGAACACAGGATTGAGACTTCTCCCCACCAGTTACACTTCATCCTTTGAATGCGAGGATTCATAGGTAGGTCTTGGAAGACTGATAATGTCATCTGCAAGGGCTCAGGTCATCAGAGGACCTTGCAGAGCCTCCCTTTCCTCTATAGGAAATTTCCTCTATAGAAATTTCTGTAAGTCCTCATTCCTACTCTCCCTATCTTCCCCAATTAAGTGCAGTTTTGATTGAGGTCCATTGGCTGGACCACAGAGACCAGTGAGGGACCATATCCCCTCAGAAGAGAAGCTGATAGTCAATCCTGTTGAAGACTGATCTTCCAGGGCTGGTCAGTGCAGCTAATGTGGTCAGTTAGTTGACCCAACGACCCCTGCCTCAGTGGCTCACCTGGTCCTCTTCACCACCACCCTCTTCACCATAATAGAAAACATTGTCACGGGTGTCATCTTCTGGGAGCAGAAGGGGCTCTTTGACCTTCCGCTTCTTTCTCACCAATAAGAGGAGCACCAGCAGGAGGACTGAAAGAATTGGGAAATGTGAATATTCACCCCCAACCACATCCCAACCACAGAGCCCCACCCAACCTTAGAGCCCCCACTTAACAGCCAAAGCTTAACACACTACAATGGCTCTCCCTGCACCTAGGAAAAACCCAACTACTTACCAAAGCTTACATGACTGGCCCTGCATATGCCTCCAACCCCCGCCACACACTCACCCGCACACACACACACACACACACACACTAAAGTCAACACACTGGCCTCTTCTGAGTTTCTCAAATATACCAGCAGTTTCCCACTTTGGAACCTTTCCTGGGCTGTCTCCTCTCGACCCACTCTCCACGCATATACATGGCTTTACCTTTAGGTTTGGGCATAATCACTTCCTCCTAGAAGCAGCCCGACTCCAACTCCATTCCTTCCCACTTCCCACTATAATTCGGTATCATTTATTGTCAGACTTCCCATACTGGTGGGGTTTTTTTTTTAACTGTGCTGGAGATTAAACCTAGAGTACTCTGTGACTGAACTATAGTTCCAGCTATTTTTATTTTGAAACAGGGCCTCCCTAAGTTGCTGAGACTAACTTCAAACTTGCAATCCTCCTGTCTCAGTCTCAGGAGTAGCTGGGATCACAGGTGAGTGCCACCATGACCGGCCTCCCTGAGAGTTTGTCAAAATGCAGTTTACTGAGTCCTATCCCTAATATTCTGGAGTTCTGAAGTGGGACCTGAGAATCTACCTTTCTAACAAATTCCTGGTACTACTAATGCCTAAGGAACCACCGCTCAAGCCTGAGAGTATGTGATGGCAGGACCACATCTATTTGCTAACCACTTGTATCTCTAATGCCTGGTACAATCCAGAAGCTCCAGAGTATGTCTACTGAATAACACTCCTGGAATTAAGTGTCTAAGGAATGGATGGGCCATGTTGGTAGCTTCTTGGTCCCAATTCAAAATAGAATCATGTCTTGTAAGTATTCCAGTATTGGAGTGAGAAGGTGTGTGGTACTCACGTAGCAGAGCCAGGACAGCCCCCAAGACAGGGAGAATGAAACCGCCCTTCCAGGGTATGGGGCAGGTGTCCACATGGCCACGGCAGTCGCACACAGTGGCACTGATCACTGTTAGCTGCTCCTTGTTACCATGGTCAGAGAGAGAAAGGTGCACATCGTATGTGTCTTGCTTCAGAAACTTCTTTAGGGACAAGGCCACTGTATCTCCTGAACGGACATAGCATTTATTAGTCTGGAGATGCCATAAGTGTTGGAACTAAATACATTATGATGGAGATTGGAGAACAATGTCTGCGTTTGAGCTAAAGAGAAATATCCTGAAAAATTAATATCTATGGCTGGGATTATAGCTTAGTAGTAGAGTTCATGCTTAGTATATGCAAGGTCTTGGATTCTATCCCCAGCACCAATAATAATAATAATAATAATAATAACAACAACAACTGGCTAAAGCAAATTCATTGTCTCAGAATTATTAGGATATAAAAATTAATTCATCATTTAAAGAAAAATCAACAACCGCCAAGCATAGTAGCATACAATCCTTTAATCCCGACTAAGGATTGTAAATTCAAGACCAGCCTGAGAAACTTAGTAAGACCTTGTCTCAAAATAAAATTTTAAAAAATGACTGCAGGTATAGGTCTGTGGCACAGCACTTGCCTAGCATATGCTAGGCCCTGGGTTCAATCCCCAGTACTGCAGAAATAAATGAATGAAATAACAGTATTTTTAAAATGAAAGCCTTAACAGTTATGTGATATGGACCCAATAATTTATCAACACATCAGCTCCTAGACTGTTCTTTGCCTCAAAAGAATATATTATTCTTCCCATGAGATAGACCTAAATCATTTAATGTTTACATTGGTCACTTGTTTTCATATTTCAATGTCCACTATCATTTATTATGGGAATTACTTTGTTTTATTGGTTATGTAGTCTAGGGTCGCATCACAACTTTATTGGTTATGTAGTGTTGGGGATCGAACCAGGCTCTTGTGCATGGCAGGCAATTGCTCTACCCCTGAACTGCATTTCCAGCCCTTACTTATTATTGCATCATTTTGCCATTTATTTAGCTATCTATTTATTTATTTATTTATTAGTAATGGGGACTGAGCCCTGGAGACTGAACCCAGTATCTTGCTCATGCTAGGCAAGTGCTCTATCACTGAGCTACACATCCCCCAGCCCTTTTTAAAAAATATTTTAAGCTGAACATGGTAAGACAGGCCTATAATCCCAGCAACTCCTGAGGTCAAGGCAGGAGGATTCCAAGTTTGAGACTAGCCTCAGCAACTTAGTGAGGCCCTATATCAAAAATCAAAAGGATGGGGCATGTGGCTCAGTGGTAGAGGGCTCCTGGGTTCAATCACCAGTACCAAAGAAGAAATACTTTTTTTTTTTTTTTTGGTACTAGGGATTGAACTCAGGGGCCCTTGACCACTGAGCCTCATCCCAAACCTATTTTGAATTTTTATTTAGAGACAGGTTCTCACTGAGTTCCTTAGTACATTGCTTTTTTGCTGAGGCTGGCTTTGAACTTGTGATCCTCCTGCTTCAGCCTCTGAGCTATTGGGATTACAGGTGTGTGCCACTGTGTCCAGCTAAATAAAAAAATTTGAAATAGGGTGTTGTAGTTTGGATCTTTAGTGTCCCCCAAAAGCCATGTGAAAGACAATGTAGTAATGTTCAGAGGTGAAATGATTATGAGAGCTCTAACCTGGATTAATGGTGGATTAGTCCATTTGACGGATTAATAATTCGAGTAGACTATATTGGTGGTAACTATAGGGAGATGGGGCGTGGCTGGAAGAAGTAGGTCACTGGAGGTGTGCTCCAGGGCATTATATCTGGTTGCGCCCTCTTGCATGCGCCCTCCCTCTCTGCTTCCCAAATACCATGAGCTGAGCAGCTTTCCTCTGCCTTGCCCCCTGCCATGATGTTCTGCCTCACCTCGAACCCAGAGTAATGGAGTTGGTCCAACTGTGGAACAAACCTTTGAAACCTTAGCCCAAAGTAAACTTTTCCTTCTCTAAGTTGTTCCTGTCATGTATTTTGGTCACAGGGACAAAAAACTGACTAACACGAAGGGACTTGCTAATTTGCCTAATGGCTGGTCTTGAATTTGTGCTTCTTCCTGCCTCAGCTTCCTGTGTAGCTGGGATCAGAGGTGTACACCACTGTGCCCAGCCATTATTTTGCTTTTATAATAAAAATTTATACCTCAACTACATGATTTAATTTTTTTCAGGGGGGATACCAGGGATTAAATCCAGGGGCACTTTTTTGAGACAGGGTCTTAATAAGTTGCTCAGGACCCACTAAGTGGCCTAGGTTGGTCTTGAACTTGTGATCCTCCTGCCTCAGACTACAGGGTCGCTGGGATTTCAGGTGGGTGCCAATTGTGCCCAGCATGATTAAATATGAAGTACCTATATTTCCATGTGATGACAACTAAATCCAAATGCATGTGACTTGGTTACATAGTGGTATATTAAACCAATCAGACAGGATGCTAACCCATGTTATCAAAGCATTAGTGATTACACACAAGTTCAGGAATGCCAGAAATATGTCATGAAGATTAAATAGGTGAATGCATACTTAGTCCATACTTAGTTCAGGTGAGCAGTAATTTGACCAACTAGCTAGCCTTCAAAGGCCCAGGGAAGTAACAGGCTAAGCACAGAGCAGAAGTGAAGTTCAGTGGCCCACAATTCCCAGAGTAGGGAGGGGCGTAGATTGTAAGTGAGGAATACAGGGTCAGGGGTCTCTTTGAAGAAAGGCCTTCAGTTCAGACCCACCTTTCTCAAGAGAGGCACAAACAGCATGGGTGGAACATTTTTCATCCTGCTGGATTATCCCCAACATTGTGGCATCTCTCACCCACTAATCACTGGTACTCACAACCAACCTCTGAGTTTCTAACCCACCCCTCAGGCTTACAAGCTATTTGAGCACTGACCTCAAGCCACTTCTAGTTAAAAGGATCTGTACACTCTAAGTAAGAAGGCCAGAGGCAGAATTCACCCTGTTCCCATTTAGCAGTGGCAGGCAGAGATACTTCTGCAAACTGAGTATCTGGTCTACTGTGTGGAGAGGCCAACATGGGATATGTCACCAAACATTGGCACCATGCTCTAGGGCTGATTTCTCAGTTGCTGTTAATGATAGTGGTGGCAGTGACTAAATAGATGCTTACTATCTGCCAGGCCCTACCTTAACCCTCACCACAACTTTGAGAGGCAAGTAATGCAATTAACTTCATTTTACAAAAGTAGAAATTGAGGCCAAGGGAGTCAAGTAACTAGCCCAAAGTCACATACATAAAGTGTGGATGAATTCCCCTGATGACAAGGACAAGGGCAAAGAGAAAAAGTAAATTAAAACAAAAAAACAGATATCAGTACTATGTTCAAGGATTGTTTTTTTGGGGATTTGGGCATAATGTTCACACTTCCATGAGCCAGATCTGAGAAGGTTACTGGGAAATACAGGCCTTGAAGATGACAGCTCACCTGAACTAAGTATGGACTTTCATGCATTCACCTATTTAATCATATTTAATTTACTACTTCATAACAAGGAAGTAGACAGAAATACTGACCCATCCCACACATAAGGAACCTGAGGCCCAGGTTCTATAATTTGCACACAGTCACAAAGCTGGTGAAAAGTCAAGGGAGGGGTCAGGTATTGAACTAAGGCATTTCTGGTTTAAGCTCTTCCATGGTATGTTCAGGGAGAAAAAAAAAAAATGGTTTCTAGGCCACAAGAGGGTGACAGAGGAGACCAATTTGGACTCCCAAGGAAAGGTAGATGTATACGTCCAAATCACAGGAATCAAAAAATGAGATAATGTGGGTGTCTGAAGGAGGTCTCCCAAGTTCTTGCAGACCTGGGCTTAGCAGCAGTAACAGAAATGGGGTTATTTGGTTTCTTTGGGGTAGAAACTGAATGTATTGGTTCTCCATTTCTCTCCTGGGGATTCCCATCCCTAAGAAGCACCTTAAGCCAAGGTAAGGCAGTTTTTCTCATAGCCTTATTGGTACTTAGGGTCCGACTCACTCCTCTCCAGTCCATACAACAACTGAAAAATCCTGAAGGCTAAGAACTTCAAAACAGTGGCCCAGAGAGAAGCAGGACAGGGAAGTAGGCTGGGAACAGGAGGGCCAGGGGCTCTGGAGTCAAAGCCTGCTTCAACTCCTAATTATCACCTATGCTATACCCTTGGGCATGTTAGTTAACCTCAAGCCTCATTCTTATCTATATGTGGGGATGAAAATGCTGACTAGAGATTGGTAGAAAGATAAAATAAGGAAAAAAAAAGAAAAAGCTTTTGCATATTGCCAGGGTCCCATCAATGGTACACAACAGAATATAATGATAAGTCAGATACCTGGACTAAAACCTCCATGCAAGTATTTTCTAGCCATAATAATGCCTCTGACAAGATATTTAAGCCTCTGTATTTGATTTCCTCATCTGTAAAATATGTGTGTGAGGCAGAGACAACAGTACCTTCTTCATAGCATCGATGTGGGGATTAAGTACTCCAGGGTGGAGCACGTGAGGTGATGTTTGGCCTACTAAGCTTGCTGAGAGTGTTAGCTATAATTGCTGTGCTGCAATCCTTTTTCTTTTTGCAGTACTGAGGATCCAACCAAAGGCTTTGCACATGCTAAGCATGTGCTCTGCCAATGAACTACACTCCCAGCCTGTACTGGAGATCCATGGGCATTTTGCCACTAAGCTACATCTCCAGTTCTTTTTATTTTTTTGAGATGGGGTTTGCTAAGTTTCCGAGGATGCCCTCAAACTTGCAATTCTCCTGCCCCAGCCTCCTGAGCTGCTGGGATTACAGGCGAGTGACACCACAACAGGCTTGGAGCCCTAACTCTTGCTATGTAATACTGGACAAGTCACTTCCTCTCTCACTGGGCCCTGTTTTTCCCATTTGCATAGAAAGGCCAGATGGACTAGAAATATCTTTCAGAGTTCCTATGAGATTCCAAAGGCTTCCAATAGAATTCTTACACTAGCCTTCTTCCCCAGCCCTTCTTTTTAAATATTTTTTTTTAAAAGAGAGAGTGGGGGGGAGAGGGAGAGGGAGAGAGAGAGAGAGAGAGAGAGAGAGAAAGAGAGAGAGAGAGAATTTTTTAATATTTATTTTTTAGTTCTCAGCGGACACAACATCTTTGTTTGTATGTGGTGCTGAGGATCAAACCCGGGCCTGCACGCCAGGCGAGCGCGCTACCGCTTGAGCCACATCCCCAGCCCCCCAGCCCTTCTTTTTAAAAGTGTTTTGAGACAGAGTCTTGCTAAGTTGTCTAGGGTCGCACTAAGGTGCTAAAGCTGGCCTTGAATGTGTGATCCTCCTGCCTCAGCCTTCCAAGGTCTGAGATTACAGGCATATGCTACCATGCATTTTTTCTTTCTTCTTCTTTTTTTTTTTTTTTTTGGTGTGGTACTGGGGGCCTCACACATCACATGCAAGTAAGTGCTCCACTACTGAGATACATCCCCAGCCCAGTTAAAATGATTTTTATTTTAAGGCAAGATTTTGATAAATTGTCCAGGCTGGCCTCAAACTTGCTACCCTCTTGTTTCAGCATCCTGAGTGTTTGGGATTATAGGCATGTGCCACTATGCCTGGCTGCTTTATGTGTGTGTGGTGCTGGACATCAAATACATGTCCTTGCACATGCTAAGAAAGTGATCTGCCACTGAGATACAACCCTAGCCCATAAACAGCATCTGACTGATGTTCTTGTGGAGATCATTATCTGTGACCCCAAAAATGCTGGAATAAGAATTTGTGCATCGGGCTAGTGTGGGGTAGACCTCACCTGCTACCACCACTTAAGTTACCTTTTTCACTGACTTCTGCCATCCAGTAGATATCCGAGTCATGTGTTAGCTGGGCCTGGAAAGGGGAGGAGTGGGGGGACAGGTCCTTGTCTGTGATGTTCAGCACTTGAGGCACAGGGCTTTGGTTGCAGATGATGATTTGACGGGGCTCAGGAATTGGGCCATGGTCGTTGATGTCAGTAAGTGTTAGGAGAAGAGTTCCTGTGCCAGTGGTGGGAGGGCTTCCTGTTTATAACAATACATATGACATCTTTTCAGCATCTGCCCTTGGTTGCTGGATGAACTGATGTTAAGCTACCCTAAAACTGACTTAATCCATCTCAGACTCCAGCTCTACACCCAGCTCTAACCCGAAAGTCTCTCCATGCCTTAACTTCATTACAGATCAAACCAGTGATGACAAATACATGAAAATCAAGTCATCTCTCATGTGTCCATGCAGACATTATCAATCTATCATAGATTAGCTGCAGCCACTTCACCCAAATAGTCATTATAATCTGCCACAGAGTGAAACCTATTGGCCACCTCAGGGCTAGTCTGGTATTTGCAGATCAGCTTCAGGGAACCTGAAGGTATTGGTTCACTATGTGCTAAGCAGAGATGTCAATTATATCATACTCCCCCACTGACTGTGGTGTGAAATCACTAATCAATCATGGTATTTTCCAGGTATTCTCTGTTACCCAACTATAAGGGGAAACTAAAGGTCAATTTAGGGTTCAGTGAACCAAAAACTTAGGTTGAATGGGGTCTTCAGGATCTTTCCTGACTCTTGGGTATCAGAAAAATCATAATCATAACCATAGCCAGTCTCCCTAGGAACAGTCCTTTAAGAGACACCCCCACTCCCAAAAGACCCTTTCAACTCTCCTGACTGGTTTGGTGGAACTGATCCCACCACAATCCTCTGTGCAGAGGGAACAGGCTGTGTTATATGATTTGAGAACCAAAGGTATCCCCCTGTGGGAAACTTGGGAGGAAATTCTCACCATTGTCTGTGGCCAAAACCATGACTTCATAGACGTTGTTCTTCACAAACCGCTCATCCTCACGGTCCAAGATGCCTGCAGCAGTGATTTGTCCACTGTCTGGGTCCATTGCTAGCCATCCTGCTGGGTCTCTCATGATGTGGTAGCTGGAAATAATTGAGAAGGGTCACATGAATTCTAGTGTCATCATTCAAACCTCTTTAGACCCAATACAGATGGTCTCTGGGCTCTTAAGCAGGACCACAGAGAAAATGAATCTCATTGAAACGGAGACTAAAATAGCAGGAAGGGAGCCAGCAGGGATATGTGGGTGAGAGAGGACCCACCTTCCCCTGAACCTCTACTCTTTTGTCTCCAGCACAGCAGGAAGGAGAGGTCCAGTGCCAGAGTGATACTCAAAAATATTGTACAACTTTTTTTTTTTTTTTGGTTCCAGCGATTTAACTGAGGGGTACTTAACCACCGAGCCACATCTCTAGCCCTTTTTAGTTTGAGACAGGGTCTTACTAAGTGCCCAGCCCAGCTGAACAATCTTTATGGTAATAGAACAACCCGCCCTACTGTACCGGTACATTTGGCTGACTGGAGCCAGTTCACGAGGAGTACCTGATCTTTTGATCCTCCTTGTCAGGGTCCTGTGCAGTGTAGATGCCGATAGCCTCCCCAGTGGAGATACCTTCTTGGGCCTCAATGACTTTGGAGGGTGGGACAAACTCAGGGGCCTCGTTCACGTCCTCCACATGGACCACTATGGTGGCTGTGGAGGTTGGGAGTTTCACCACAAAGGGAGCCTCATTGGTCACTGTTACATATAGGGTGTGCTGGTTTTGGGCCTCAAAATCCAAGCCCTAGGAGAGAAGAACGTGAACCACCATTTTGTGAGGAGGCCTGTGGGCGTCAGAAGGAAAGAGCCCATAGTGAGGGGATCGAGCCCTCCCCCTACAAGCAACAATCCCTCACATGGATCTCTCTCTGTCTCCAAAGCCTCCTGTGTTTCCTGAGTAGACATCTAGTGGAGTCTCTTGGATCACCCCAGAGGCAACTAGCTTAGTAAGGCCTAGAATATTGGTTTTCAATGGGGTGGTGATGCCCTCTAGGGAGTGTTTTAGAAATTTATGAAAGTCTGACTAGGGGTGCCATTGTTACTCATATGCTGGGGCATGGATGCCACTCCCACAGTGTTAAGACACAAAGAACTGATCCCATATCCCATGTAACTTGCCAATATCCCTTAAGACATTCCTACATCTGCGGGTGTAAAACACCTGTTCATAATTAGAGTATAGAATGTTTTGCATATAAACCAAGTTTTTGGTGTGGTTTTAATATATATTAAATTCTCTAGGAATGCAACTGAGAGAAGCTCATAATTTAATTTGGTCAGGACTTTTTCAAGAGTTTGTTCACTGTTCTGAAAAGATATCAATATCACTCTTGTTCTGCATTGCCAGAGTGACACGCAGTATCTACCACATTTGGATGATTCTACAAATAGATGCAAGTAATTGACCATTTCACTATGTTTTCTAGTGTAGTTGCACAAAAATGTTTTATATTCAGTAGCTTTTCTTAGAAATTTCTCCTTTATTTTAGTTGGTCATTCTACTTTTCTAAAAAGTACAATTTAGCTAAGTTAGATTATAAATGAACTTCATTTCACAGTGTAAAAGGGGCATTATAAAGTATTTGTCACAAGAAGGGGACATTTAAACCTAAGATAGTCTTTTATTTTTATTTTTTGAAGTGCTGGGGATCAAACCCGGAGCCTATCGCATGCTAGGCAAATGCTCTATCACTGGGCTACATCTCCAGTCCCCTTTATTTTAAATTTTGAGACAGGGTTTCACTAAATTGCCCAGGTGGCCTCAAAACTTGTAATTCTCCTGCCTCAGCCTCCCAAGTATCTGGGATTACAGGTGTGTGCCCAGCCAGACTCATTTTCTTGAAGCTTCAATTAAAATTTTTTTTTAAATTTTTTTAATATATATTTTTTAGTTGTTGGTGGACACAATATGTTTACTTTTTAATTTTATGTGGTGCTGAGGATCAAACCCAGTGCCTCACGTATGCTAAGCAAGCGCTCTACCACTTGAGCCATAACTCCAGCCCCTTCAATTTTATTCAAAGTCTTTTTTACTCAAACCATGTCCTATTCTCTAATAAAAACAAAAATGCACAAAAGTTTAAAAACAGTTTTGAGAGGCAAAGATGTGCCTACTAAGTAATTTATTTATTTATTCTATTATGATTATGATTATGATTATGATTATTATTATTATTAGGTACCAGGGGTTGAACCCAGGGGCACCTAACCATTGAGCCACATCTCCAGTCCATTTTATTTTTTGAGACAGGGTCTCGCTAAGTTGCTGAGGCTGGCTTTGAACTTGTAATCTTCCTGCTTAAGCCTCCCAAGAACTTGGATTATAGGCAAGCCCCACTGAGCCTGGCCTACTAAATAATTTGAAACTTTTCACATCTAAATACCTAGATGTGTGTTGCTGAGTAAATGCAAAATTAGCATGATTCTAATAAAACAGATTCTGAGAGACGACTCTGGAGGTGGCCTGTGGAAACTGGGTTCTGGGAAGAATCCATTGATGTGCTTCAATTGAATCAGTGACTCACCTGTGGCTCCCTTGTCCTGGAGGCTGGAATCCTGGCTGTCCCAGGTGTGTCCTTTGTTTAAGTTCAAAGAAACTCACCTTCCTGGTTGTCAAGATGCCCTGGTTGCTCTCAGGGTGGGTGGTGATGGTAAAATGGTCCCCATCGTCACCTCCCACAATGCGGTAGATGGCATGCCACGCTGTTGAGTTGGGGGCATCCAGATCAGTCACTGTCAGCCTCTGCACCTCATGGCCCACTGCATTTTCTGGCACCCGGGCTTCATACTGTCAGTGTGGGAAGCACAGAGCAATCAGAGCAGAGAGACTGACTTTCCTTAGAGGCTGTTCTACTGTCATCAGCCATGTGTCCTCCATCTTCCTTCTGGGGAGCCCCATGGCCTTTACCCTTTCCTGGCCCACCAACCCCTTAGCAGGTTTTCAGGGCACACACTGGTGCAGAATGTCCCAAGCATTAGCTTAACAGCTGCAGGGACAGACCACACCAACATTGGGTGTTTTCCCTCCTCCCAGGAGCCTGATGTTCCAGAATCTCACTCGTCTGGGTATCCAAGTCCCTGCTGGATACAGTCATCCATCAACCTGAGATCAGTAGGTTATAAGAAAGGTGAAAATAAGGGTAGGAGTCTATTTGTGTTGGGGCAATGGACAGAGGTTTTTTGGAGGTTCTAGGACAGGAAGTAAAGACTAGAAAATCAGCTGCTAAGAACCAAAAAGTTTTTATGGGATGTTGGCATCAAACCCAGGAACTTATGCATACTAAGCAAGTGCTCTACCACTAAGCTACACTCCCAGAACAAAAAATTTTTTTAAATTATCTTTTATTTATTTGTTATTTATTTATTTATTTTTATGTGGTGCTGAGGATCAAACCCAGGGCCTCGCCCAGCTAGGCAAGTGTTCTACCGCTGAGCCACAACCCCAGCCCTAGAACAAATTTTTAATCAGGTCTGAAGAATGTTAGCAATCACAGATATCTACAATTGGAAGGGGTGGGACATGTCACCCTGAGTGGCATTGAGGCCTCTGTCATTGGAGGTGTACAAGTATTCACTGGGGGAATGTGGAGAGATGAGGATTCAAAGGATAGTAAGTTTTCATATCAACAAAGATTTTCATATGCAGCACTTATTTTGCCAGGATTGTGTTCAAAACGGTACATAGATTATTTCATTTAAAACTCAGAACAATGCAGCAGGTATGATCATTATCTCCATTTCACAGATTAAGAAATGAGGGCACAGAGGGTTAGTAGTTTGCCTAAGGTCACACAGCCAGTAAATGGTAAGGCTAGGACTCAAAGCAACATAGGCAGGATTCAAAATTTCATGAGAGGATTAAACTTAAGCCCTTCGTTACTGATGAGGGAAGAAAGAAGAACAGGTGTTACCTTCTGGGGGTTGAACACAGGAGCATTGTCATTGGCATCAAGGATTTCCACTATTGCCACTGCTGTGGTAGTGGAGCCATCTCCATCCATGTCTGTAGCCTGGATGGTCAGTGTGTATTCAGGGACTTTCTGGGGATAAAGAAAGGAGAGGGGAAGCCCACCGTGAGTCCAGTCTCAGGAGTCCCTCACCTGGGCTCTAAGAACCAAAGCCTTGAGGAAGTATAGAGATAGAGAAGTGTTCCTCTCGTGATATTCTTGGCCCCTTGTCCTACTCTCACCTTACCAGAAAGAACAGAAGCAGAGGGGAGTGCTGGGGAGGAGTCTCAGGTGCCAGCAGTTCTCCTGGGTCTATCCTGAGAAAGTCTGGGCACTGGCCCCAACCCTTAGCTGCTCCACTGTGGGAGTATTAAGCAGGGATTTGGGCAAAGATATTAATTAGGAAACAGAAGGCAACTCCAATATCCATGGAGCTAATTCTACTTTGTGGTGCACAAGGGACAAATCTATGCAATGTGCACACTAAGCGAACCATTCCAAGAGGAAATGAGAAAACCTCCAGAAAATATCAAAAGTCTTCATTTTACAGCTGCCTCCTCATCCTCAGAAGAGATTCAATGAGATTGTTTGGCAGCAGGCCACCCACCCAAGGGAGCTGTGGGACATCCGTGTGTGAACACAGTAGCTGACAGCCCAGCTGATTTGGGTCCCCATTGTTCTGCCTTGACCTCAGGGACAGGGACAGGGACAGTGACAGGAGTTTATGCTCTGAGAGTCAGGCCCCAGTCTGGGCAAGCCTAGGTTGGCAGCACTTTCCCTCAGGGCTGTTCACCTCACGGTCCAGGCCACTGGAAATGACACTGATGGTGCCTGTGCTTCGGTGGACAGTGAACATGAGGTCGTGTGGGTCCTTTGGTTCCTGGCTATGGATGGAGTAGGCAACCACCCCGTTGTAGGTGTTGATGGCATCATCCTCATCTGTGGCTGTTACCTGCATCACTGAAGTACCTGGAGAGGAGAAAGGACGAATGAGTGAGTACCTTTTCCTCCCAGGTCCAATTCCAGCCTTGCCCACTTTTGGAACTCTGAGAGTCTCCTCCATGTTTCAACTTGGTCGTATCTACTTAGTGACAGAGTCTGTTTGTCTGGCACCCATTTTCAACTCTTTCCTTCTTTTTTAGAATTGTCATCCTCATTTTAGGCTGGGCACAGGTAGTTTTTTTTAAAGGAACAAAGGCTATTTTCCAACCTTTTGGCACCTTCCTATGACCAAGAGAATAAAGTTTGATAAAAACAGGACATACAACTTTGGGGGAAATGTTTTTACAAATATGGGCTTGTTCTTCCTACCTCTCACCTCCTTCCAGATGTAATGGCTAGACCCAGCAGCCATAAGGGTAACCTTGAGAACAAAGGCCAAAAGAGCAGAAAAAGTGTAGGCCTCCAAACCTTTGAAGCACCATACCAGTTTACACTGACTTTTGCTAGGAGTTTTAAAGTATAAGGAAGAAAAAAAAAAAAGATTTAATCTAAGACTTTTTATTGTGGGAATTTGTTACTTCCTGTCTAATCAACTCACAAACCCCTCCCCCAACAAGTGCCTGCCCTTGATGGTAATTAATATGCACGTACTATAATCCCCAGCACTACACACACTAAAAGACATCTACTTCCCTCTTCTCTGCTGGTCTCCCACCACCCTCTTTCCTAGTCCTGGCAATTTTCTTTTCTCTCCCTAAGCCATGTTCTAACACCTTCCAGCTCTGATTTTCTTGCAGCTGCCTTCACTAAAGAACTTCATGTCAAATGTCAAGGCTAAGGCAGGAGGATCACAAGTTTGAGGCCAGCTTGGGCAACTTAGCAAGACCCTGTCTCAAATAAAATGAAAATGGCTGAGGGTATGGCTCAGTGGTAGAAGCCCCTGGATTAAATCTCCAGAACAAGTGGGGGGAAATGAAAAAAGAATGATACTCCACTGTATATAATGTCAAGTACGAGTTCTTTTTCTTTTCTTCCTTTCTTTTCTTCCTTCCTTCCTTCCTTCCTTCCTTTCTTTCTTTTTTTTTTTTTTTTTTTGGTGTTGGAGATGAAACCCAGGGCTTCAAGTATGCTAAGCACCACTGAACTATACTCCTAGCTGCATGTGTTATTTTTAATGTTTATATTTCTTTAAGGTTGCTATTATTTTCATTTTTAGATGTGATGATTCAGAGATAAGAATATGCCCAGGACCACAGCTGGTAAAGTCAAGATTCAAATCTCATTCTTTGCAGTTTCCGCGTTAATGGTTCCTAAACTTGGTTGATTACCTGAAGCTTCTGGAAAATTTTCACATGCACAGATTCCAGAGCACTATTTGAGGACTGTTAATCAGGAATCATGAGATACAGTTGGAGAATCTAGATTTTTAAGATCACAGGCAATCTGATGCACAGACAAGGAAATCAGGAGTGGTGGGGTCTTATGATATTTAAGGGTGTGGACTGACTTCCAGATGGTTCTAGAAGTTGACCCAAAGTTAAGTCTTGGCCCAGCAAATCCACAGCAGTTTCTTCCAATCCTCTTACCAGGGAGTACACCCTCCATGACACTCCCTCTGAAGACAGCCTGGGTGAAGTTGGGCTTGTGGTCATTCTGGTCTGTCACGATGATGGAGATATTCATGGGCTCCTCCACCGAGGCACCATTCTCTGACACAGCATGGCCAAAAAGCTGTGGGCACAGAGGTCTATGATCAACCCGATACCTGCACCCCCGGGGCCCTAAGGCTCTAATTCTAACAGGACACTACAGGCCACTTGCCTCATACTTGGCGATCTTTTCCCGGTCCAGTGGCTTATTCAATAACAACCAGCCTGTCTCCTTCTCTATGGTGAAGATGCCCTCAGGGGGGCTGTCTGCCCCAGGCCCTGTGATGCTGTAGAAAATCTTGGTGCCCCTGTCTTTATTGGATTTGAGCTGGAAGCAAAAGAAAATGGCAGCTGACAAAGTAACAAAGACCTCATGACTATAGCAAGGAATTTTCCGTGGAGAGGTTGGGGAGGGGCACAGCCTTATTAGAATCTGCTTCCATGACAGGGATTTTCCTCTGCAGATCCCAGAACTCAGTGGCAAGAAACCTCACATTCAAAGATGGCGCTCCCTGCAGTCACCAATGACTCCAAGGGGGAAGGCACAGTCATACCTGATTTAGCCTCTGGGGGAAGGGACCCTTGCCATTCTCAGGGACAGATATTGGCGGGACCACCCATTCTCTCTTGCGTCTTCGTAAGATGCGTTTGGATTGGGAGACCTTCAGTGTTTTCCTTTCCTGAAAGGAGAGAAGCCCCCTGGATGAGGAAAGAGCTGTAACATTCCCAACAACCTCTCACCCATAGGAGTATAGAGCCAGGAGGCAGACCTAGATGATCTACTGCACAAGGACACTTCGAAATAATCCAGTTATAGAGGAGGACCACATAATACAGCATGTAGTAGAATATTACACAACTCTAAAAATGAGGAATGAGAATGTTTTCCATGTGCTGACTGGGAAAGCTCTTTGATATATACTGTTAAAAGATCAAAGGACAAACAGCTTATGGTTTAGAATTTTATTTAACAAACAAAATGCTAAATATGTACCAGACACTATTCCATCTTTTGTGTAAGAGGACAGGAAAATAAGACCTTATGTTCATATTTTATTAACACAGACCATGTCTGGAAGATACATAAGAAACTAATAACAGTGGTTATCTGTGGGAAGGGGACTGGCATTGTACTGATTTAATATACTGTTTCATGCAAAAAGAAAGAACAGACATGTGAATGTTAACTTTTGCATAAAAGGAAAAAAAACATTTTATATCTGTATATACACAAACATAACCTATCTAAATATAATATTGAAAATACATATACAGAAATGGCAGCTGACAAACATTACATATGGAGGTAAACTCTGGAGGGAAAGAACCTGCCCAAGATGGTTATCTGTGTTTTCTCTTGTAGCGTGTGTGTGTGTGGGGGGTGTTTTAGGCAGATGGAGACAAATGGAAAGTGTTCAATGTATAGTTAAAAAATTTTTTTTATTTAAAAAATAAAATTTAAATTTTAAATTTAAACCATGGGGCTATATTAGCTAATCAAAAGATTAAAAAAAAAACTAAGAAGTGTGGCCAGGCACCTCAGATCCACCTTCCTAGAGACTCATGGGATTGGCAATCCTGCATGGAATGACCTTCACTTGGGGTTAAGCTGGGAAGGAAGGTGGGAGAGGGATCCCAAGGCCTAAGTGCATGGTATTCACTGCTAAGGGCCCACTGGCCTGACTCTCTGGTGTCCTTACTGGGCAGCTGCAATCACTCATGCTTACAGCAGCCTTAGCAACCAAGGACTCCTGACCAGCAGCAGTCTGTGTGTGCATAGAGAACCCTTCCTTTTGTCCTGTAGGAAGACTGGTGTTTTACCTGGACTGTTCCACTGTTCAGCGCAGGGAAGTCGTTATCAGTGCCAAGCAGGGCCAGTTCCTCCTCAGGGCAGCCGGTGAAAGCTGTGGTGGGGAAGGGAGAAAGAAGGCATTAGAAAGGCCCTGGAAGCCAGGTGTGGTGGCGCAGACCTGTAATCCCAGAGGCTTGGGAGGCAGAGGCAGGAGAATCGCGAGTTCAAAGCCAAATTTAGTGAGGTGCTAAGCAACTCAGTGAGACCTTGTCTCTAATAAAATACAAAATAGGGCTGGGGATATGGCTCAGTGTTCAAGTGCCTCTGAGTTCAATCCCCGGGATTCGCCCCACCTCCCACCCCCCAAAAAAGAAAGGCCCTGGAAGCTACCTGAGGGGAAACAAGACCTGACAAGAGTCCCTGACTGGATCAAGGACTGTTATCAAGTGCTGCAGATGGGGCCTTGCCTTAGTTTCTCTGACAAGCAGAGTGACTAATATAAATCCAGATAGAACTTCCATGTTAGGTCTCAAGAAGGAGAGACCTTCATTGTCAGTTTGTGGGTCAAATCCCTTTTTGTTCATGAAACCAGAGAACCAAGATCACAGACATTCAGTGACATTAATCCCGGGCAGCCTTGTGAAACACACGTTTGACTAAAGGTTATAGCTAGAGGTGGAAGATTTTCTGGAGGCCATGAATCATCTATCTATATACAACATGCATCATCACACTGTTGCCCACAATTCACTCTGGACAACCTCTGATTGTTTCAGTTGGTCACACCCCTTCTGAATTCCCCCTGCTAGACCATCTCTGAAACACTGGAAGCCAGAGATGTGATGGCTCATGCCTGTAATCACAATGACTCTGGAGGCTGAGACAGGAGGATGACAAGTTTGAGGCCAGCTTGGGCAATTTAGCAAGACCCTGTCTCAAAATTTAAAAACATAAATATAAACAAGGGCTGGGGAGCCGGGCACAGTGGCACATACCTGTAATCCCAGAAGCTTAGGAGACTGAGATAGGAGGATTTCGAGTTCAAAGCCAGCCTCAGCAAAAGTGAGGTGCTAAGCAACCCAGTAAGACCTATCTCTAAATAAAATAAAAAATAGGGCTGGGGATGTGGTCAAGTGCCCCTGAGTTCAATCCCTGGAACAAAAAAAAAAAAAAAAAAAAAAAAAATGGGGGCCTAGGGATGTTGCTTGGTGGAAGACCACTTGCCTAATAGGCTTGGGGGCCTCGGTTCAATCCCTAGTGCCACAAATAAAAACCAAAACCAACTTACCAGTCCCTAGTCAGAGGCTGGGCCTGTTTCATTCTTGTAATAACCCTCCTAGGTAGGCATTAGCCCTTTCAAAGATAAGAAAACTCATGCTCACAAGCTGGGTGGCTGAGGATCAGGCTACCTTCTCTATAGGGTTAGCTTGGCTCACAATGGCTTTAGCAACCAAGGACTTTTGGCCAATAAGCAATCTGAGCAATCTACCCTTCTTTGAAGCCAAAGCAAAAAATCAGGGAAACTGCCAGAGGCCACACTTTGGGCCTCATAAGAACCAGATCTGACCCAGTACTCATAGTTTTGCTAGGCTACAGCATAACAAGGACATTACTGTCCCTGGGCCATACAAATGTCCTGTTTGGAAGAGTTGTTTAGTTATTAGGTTATTATTACCATTTGGATTAAGTATCTTTTTTTTTTTTTTCCTCTCAGGATTATACTGGGTATTGAACCCAGGGACACTCTATCACTGAGCTACATCTCAGCCCTTTTTATTTTGAGACAGGGTCTCACTAACTTGCCTGGGTTTGTCTCAAACTTGTAATCTTCCTATCCTGACTTCCTATGCAGCTGGGATCACAAGCCACGGTGCCCAGCTTAAAAATATTTTTCCTTATAATAAAGAGTAAGGTCCACCTCCCCCAATACTGAGAATTGAACCAGGGGAACTCTACCATTGAGCTACATCCTTAGCCCTTTTTAAATTTTATTTTCAGACATGGTTTTGCTAAACTGCACTGGTGGTCTTTCAACTTTAAATCCTCCTGCCTCAGCTTCCTTAGTACAGGGATTACATGTGTGTGCCGTGGTATGTAGCTGAGATTTTATTTTTAACTACAAAAGTAATTTGAACATAACAAAGTATTTAAAAAAGTATAATATATGGGCTGGGGTTGTGGTTCAGTGGTAGAGCACTTGCCTAGCACGGGTGAGGCAGTGGGTTCTATCCTCAGCACCACATAAAGATGAATAAATAAAGGTAGTGTGTCCATCTATCACTAAAAAATATTAAAGTATAATAAAAAAGTAGAATTTTAAAAAATTAATACCAGAATATGTATAGAACTCCTAAAACTCAACAAGAAAAAACTAATAATAAAAAAAAAAAAGGCAAAGGACTGGAAAAGACATTTCTTTGAAGAAGATAAACAAGTGCATTAAAAGATACTAAATATCATTAGTCATTAGGGAAATGCAAGTTAAAATTATAATGAGATACCACTTCATACCCTCTTGGATGGCTATTTAAAAAAATGAAGGAAAATAACAAGTCTTGGCAAGAATGTAGAGAAATTGGAAGCCTCCCACATTGCTGGTGGGAATGTGAAATGGTGCAGCCAATGTGGAAAAGAGTTTGGCAGTTCATCCAAAAGTCAACGTAAGGCTTGGGGTGAGCTCAGTGGGACAGCACTTGTCCAGCATGGGTGAGGCCCTGGGCTCAATTCTCAGCACTACCCCTACCCCCAATACATAAAAGTCACATGGAGAGTTACAAAGATTAGAAATTCCACTCTTAGCATAATTTTGTTTTGTTTTTGGTGCTGAGATTGAACCCATGACCCTGTGCCTGCTGAGCATGTTCTCTAACACTGAACTACACCCCCAGACCCAGCATAATGTTTTCAAGGTTTATTGATATTCTCGCATGTCAGAACTTTATTCTTCTTAAAGTTTGAATAATATTCCCTGATATGGGTATAACATGCTTTTTCATCTCTCTTTTTTTAAAATTTTGGTAGTCCTAGGGATAAAACCCAGGGGCACTTTACCTCTGAGCTATATACCCCCCACCTCCCTCCCTTTTTTTTTTTTTTGGTGGTGCTTGGGATTGAACCCAGGGCCTTGTGCATGTGAGGCAAGCACTCTGCCAACTGAGCATCCCAGTCCCCCCAGCCCTTTTTATTTTTTATTTGAGACAGGGTCTCACTAAGTTGCTGAGGCTGGCCTCTTGGGATCCTTTTCCCTCAATCTCCTGAGTCGCTGGGATTAAAGACATGTGCCACTGTGCCCAGAATAAAATGGTAAATTTTATGTTATGGATATTTTACCACTCACAAAAGGGGTAGAAGCCTGACACAGGTGTGTAAAATGTACAATCTTTTGGAAAAAAGTCTGTCAATATATACTGAACTTAAGTATATGCAATTACGAAGATTTAGTAATTCTACTCTGAGGTATAGACCTCACAAAATACATGTACCAAAAGCATTCAATGTTTATTGAAGCACTATTCATAAGAGCTAAAAACTGTAAACAGTAAATATTCATCAAGGTAGGATGGAGAGAAACACTGTGGTATAATTACATATTGAAATGAATCAACTACAAGGACACCCAACAACATGGGTGACTCTAACATTGTTGAATAATAGAAACCAGATACATGCAAGGACACATGTATTGTCCTGGAAGAAAGAAATATCATTTCTCCTCAATCCTGAGGCCCCCAGTCAAGATAGACCCCTGAAACAAAAAAGACAGATTTAACAACAACTACAAAAAAAAGTTTATTAATGTGTGCGGTGCATAATACATGGGCAAAACCTCAGGGAAAGGTAGCTCAAAGCAGTGGTTTAGAACTCTGGTTTACACAGCACCAGCAACAAAAAACAATAAATTTTAGAGATGACAAGACGAAGGAAAGCAGTTCCAAGCTTCCAGAGGGAGGAAACTGTGGGATGGTAAATACATGAGAGTAAACTAATGGAGCGAGATTTGCAGATTCCTCTGGAGCTGTCTCTGAGCTGATAAGAGTTGACTCCAGTAAAGGAGAATTTATATCCGGTCACTAGGTAGAAAGCTGGGGTGGGGTGGGGGGCATAGAAAGAGCTCTTCCTTCAGTTTGCTGCTTCTTAATATTTATGTCAAAGATGCATATTTGGGGGTGCAACATTCTGGTATTCATTAGCATATTTCCATCCACATAAAGCTCAAAAATAGGCAAAACTTATCTAGGTAAAAGAAGGAAAGACACTGCCCACTCTTGGAGAGGGGTTGTGATTGGAGCAGACAGAGAGGCCTAAGGACCATTAAGAGCTTCCTTCTGCTCCTCAGAGCTCAGAGCCAGGCCCCAGAGCCCAAGAACTCACACATACAGGATCCTCTGAGGGAAGGCTGGAATGTGCCCATGAGAAAGAGATGATTGCTGAGAGACCAGCTCTGACTCCTTGACGACATCCCCAGTGAGGAGTCCTAGGTTGTGACATGCTTGGCCAGTGGGAAGAAGGGAAAAGGGGATCTAGTTCTGATTCTGCTTCAGAGAGTCCCAGGAGCCATGAGATCCCCAGTGCAGTCATGTCTGTACCTTGAGCACACAGCTCTATAGTCTCATCTGAGGAATCTTATTTGGCCTTAAATCTAGAATGGCCAGAAATTATAAGTGACAAAGGTTAACCCACCTTAAATACAGGGAAAAAATATCTAAGGGGCCATGGACTTATCCAGTTATGCAAAGTAATACTAATGGTAGCATTCTGAAATTACATAGGGAAATTCTTATGCTGTAAAGTAAAATCAAAGCAGAATGCAGAACTACATATATAATATGTGTTAACTAGGCGCAGAAAAAAGACTGGAGGAAAATGAACCTTCCCAATGATTACAACTTATTTTTAAGTCCAGCACCCTAACTGCTTGACTGTGACTATCTGCTAAATTGTATTTCTTAATTGTTATATAGGCCCAAGTTTTCTCTTATCACAAACTCTTGTGATCTCCACCTCCCAAATTCATATGTTGAAGTCCTAACCCCCAGTACCTTACAGCATGACTATATTTGAAGATGGGGTCTTTCTCCCCACTCCTGGTACTAGGGATTGAACAAATGCAGG